CTGCAGTCGTAGCACGCACATGCATGCGTGTCAACGATGCGTGCGTTTGTATGTGTGAGTGGGCGCGTGGGGCGGGGGTACACGATCGCCGAAAACAGTCGCGCAAACACGACCAAGATGCAGCAGCAGCAGCAGTTCTGTGCCCTTCCCGTTACCTCACCACACAACACACACACACACACACACACACACAGACACACACACATACACAGACACACACACACACACACACACACACACACACATGCACGCACGTACAGAACACGAGCAGGCCACTGCACCTTCGATGACGTTGCATCCGCCGTGGACGGACTTCTTGTGGCGCGGGCCAAGATACCCGTCCCGCACCTGACGTGGTGACAAACGCGTGGGGATGGAGGGTTGCATGACATGAGCACACGCAGGCGCGCAGCAGAGAGATGAGGCAGGCATTCAAGCAAACACAGACAGACAGACAGACAGACAGACATACAGACACACACACACACACACACACACACAGACACACAGACACACAGATAGACAGACAGACAAAGCAGGCACGCCCGTTGTACGAGCAATGACGTACGTGGTGGTTGTACCACATGACGGCCTTGCGCTTCTTCGGGGGAACAGCGAGACCAGGGCTGCACGTCCGCGTCTGAACACGATGCACAACACCCGCAATAAACAACAGACACAATGTGAGCGCGATGAACAACACCACCACCAACAGAACCAGCACCACCACCAGCACACAGGTGCTTGCGACGTTGTATTCGTGTGTTCCGCAACCTTCTTGTCCCCCGCCATGCATCACTCCCCTCCCCTTTCAACCACCACCACCACCACGACCACCACCACGACCACCACCACCGCAGCCATTGCACACATCACCTGCTTGAATTTGTCTGGTCCGCCGCTGAGGTGCCACTGCTGGTACTCCTCCTCCGTCGTGTCGGCCATCGGGAACACCGTCCCGCCTGATAGTGGTGGTGATGGCGGGGGGGGGGGGGGGGTTGGAGGATATGAAGCGGGAGGCGATGGGGAAGTAGTGGTGGTGATGGGTGCGGTAGGAGGGAAGACCACGTGTCATCACACACACACACACACACACACACACACACACACACACACACACACACACACACACACACACACACACACACACACACACACACACACACACACACACACACACAACATCACCCACAGTCAAAACGCACCGCCCTCCTCCGTGTCGACGAGGTAGTACAAGATGGTCATGAATCGGCAGAGGCGGCAGCGCTGCTCCAGCGGGCGGTTGAGAGCACTCACACCCGTCGACATGCCCCGCTCCCGCGCATACGGGTCAATGCAGCAGGGGCCTTGGTGCTGCCGTCGTCGTCGTGGCGGCGGTGGTGGTGTTGAGAGTGAGAGGGCGATATCTGATCGAATTCCTCACTCAATGCCCGTCCCACCAAACGCTTGCGTCCTATTCTCATCACACACAACATCCCATCCCACACCCTAATACCCCCATATCACCACCACCATCACTCCACCACCACCACACCTCGTCCTCGGAGTCGTAGTGCGTCTCGTAGTGGCCGAACTCCCTGTACTTGACGACCTGCAGCGGCTCCATCTGCTGCGCCACGCGGTCCGGCAGCAGCGCCAGCCGCCGCACGCGCTCGTACATCGCCTGAAGGTGCGCACTCGCATCGTGCCGCAGCCACCTGGGGGGATTTGTGGTGGTGGTGGTGGGGATGGACGCAGGACAGGGGTTGAGGGTGTGGCGCTGTCGTGTCTCTTCCGCTCTCCACACACACACACACACACACACACACACACACACACACACACACACACACACACACACACACACACACTCACTCTCTCTCTCTCTCTCTCTCTCTTTCTCTCTCTGTCTCATGTCCAAACGCTGCTCACGTCTGATCGCTGTATCGGAAGATCTTGTCGGCCTCCTCCGGCGTCAAATTCGCCGTGTCCTGCACACACACACACACACACACACACACACACACACACACACACACACACACGCACGCACACACACGCACATACATACACACGCACACAATGTACGTCGTTTGTGAGTGGACGACAAGCAAGCCCAATGCAGGTAACAACAACGGGAAACGAACAAATGCCTTCAAACCAACCCCCAACCCCCACTCACGCATCCGCAATCCTCCCATCCATGACGGGCGTACCTTGTCTCGCTCGTCGTAGTTGCTGCCGTCCAGATATGTAAAGTCGCTCTTCTGCAGACCGCCGTCCACCGCCATGCTGCAAAGAACACAAAAATGCAGCCAGCGTGAGAACGCGGGAACGAGCGGTTCACAAACCGGAAGGGAATTTGGCTGTGATTTGCGTGCTGTGCAGCATGTCAGTCATGTATGGTGGTTCATCTCACTTGATGATGGATTCACACTCCTCGTCCGTCAGGAAGTCCTCGATCTCTGTAGCCAGTCAAGGAGACGCAATGAGCTCTTGAAGGACACAAATGAAACACAGTTCAAGCCACAAAGGTCGACTGGACACAACGCAGGATAGCGCTGGTCTCTCAAGGTCAGTCGCTGTGTTGAACTGACCAAAAACGGGAGGATCCATGGACATGGTCCGCATCTCGTACAAGCGACCTGAGTCATCCAAACGAAGCCTGCATCAAGGCACACCAACGTGCACGACAATGAGCACGAGGGAAAAGACATGCAAGCCACCACCTCCTTCAGGTTTCAACATGCGTCAAAGTGTACGAGAACACATCGAAGACGCGCAGATATGAAGAGCACGTATTCACGCACATGCATACACACTCTGACTGACTCACTTGCGCGTGTAGTTGATGGCGACGGGATCCCACATGCTGAGCCGCTCGGGCGCAGGTCCCGTGAGCGAGGTGATGCCGTCTTCGTCTGGCTGCGGCACGACAGGCTTCCATTCGTCTGCCTTTGGCTCGCTCTCCTTTGACTTCTGGTCAACCCCTGGCGCGTTGTCATCCTGCACCAGCTTGGCCTTGATGCTCAGGTTTGGGATCGGCTTCTTCGTCGGCTCTCCTTGCTGCTGCTGCTGCTGCTGTTGTTGCTGCTGCTGCTGTTGAGGTTTGCCTGCAGTTCCGGAGAACGTGGTTGTTGCCTGTCCCTGCTGCCCTTCATGCCTGTACACGGATGTCGCCACGATGGCGGCCAGTGCCACCAGCACTGCCAACGCCAGCACGCTCTGCGCCTTCATAATATTGGTCAGTTGCAGCGGTGATGAAATCTGCGTTGCGACAGCATAAATTTCGCCTCGATTACAACCGCCCTTGTTGCCACTGAACAACAACACACCACCCAATATGGACGCCAAGCGCGCAAAGATGCAGCTCGTGCCACCGCCAGTGGCCAAGGTACCTTGGTGTGTGTGTGTGTGTGTGTGTGTGTGTGTGTGTGTGTGTGTGTGTGTGTGTGTGTGTGTGTGAACTGCTTTGATGAGCAATGCGCAGAAGCGGCTGCTTGCTGCGTTGTTGGTACCGTTGGTGCCACAGCCAAGTCAACCTCAACACCGTTCCATTTGCGCGTCTTGTATTGCTGAAGGTGACACCAACGAACGACCTGAAGGACGAGCGCGCAGACTGCGTCGTCTTCGTCAGCGACTTTGCCACCCCTTCTGGCCTTGATGCCGTTGACAAGGCCGTGGCCGACGCTGACGCCATTGACAAGTCAGCCACGTCCCAGTTTGCCGTGGTCAGTTGTGTGTATGTGTATGTGTGTAAGTGTGGAAGTGTGTGTGAAGTGTGTGTGTGTGTGTGTGTGTGTGTGTGTGTGTGTGTGTGTGTGTGTAATCTCAGGTGAGACGACATATGCGACGTAGTTGCTCGTGTTATTTCGTGTTGTCGCACGTGGCGTCGTCACCATGCCTGCCTCACCGCAGCCGCTCGAAACACACACCCACTCATCGTTGCTGGTGATACAGGTGCCGAGTGCCGGTGTTGCTGGCGGCCGCATGGTGCTGAGCAACACGGGCCCCGTCACGCGCGACTACGACGACGTACGCCGCTACTCCGACGCCGCGCAGAAGGGCGTCAAGCGCGCCCTCGCTGCCGGCGCCCGCAAGCCGCTGCTTGTCGTCCACTACACCGCAAAGGGCGCCCTGCAGGACCTCTTTGCCAACCACATTGCCGTCGCCGTGACGGGTGCGCTTGCGCAGTGCTATGTGCCACTCGAGGTGCGCGAGGACAAGACTGCGCCCACCTGGTCGGCTACGACTGCAGAGGAGCTCTTTGTCTATTCCCTCGACGCCAACACCGCCGCCACCGTCGCCGCCATCGAGGCAGCGCGCTCCGTCTCCCGCGACCTCTGCGGGTGAGATTGAGACTGTGTGTGTGTGTGTGTGTGTGTGTGTGTGTGTGTGTGTGTGTGTGTGTGTGTGTGTGTGTGTGTGTGTGCAGATGATACGACTGACACCCATTCCCCGTTTGATTGCTGCCGTACGTGTGTGTGTGCAGCGGTGACCCAGAGCGCATGGCGCCACCAAAGTTCGCTGCATATGTGCAGGAGCTCTTTGCTGGCTCAAACGTCAAGGTGTGTCGTGTTGTGTGTGCGTGTGTGTGTTGTTGCGGCACCCTGTTGGAACTCTCGCTCCTGTATCGCCTAATCTATGATTACTGTACGCGTCTCCCTGCGTTGTCCTCGCCAGGTGACGGTGAAGGAAAAGGACGACTTCTCCGACGAGTACCCGCTCCTCGAAGGTGAAATGCACACATGCACACACACACATACACATACACATACACATACATGCACATACATGCAATGCGAGGCGCTGTTCACAACCTGATCACGTGTTCACGTCTCTGCTTCTTCTATTTGTCCCCTCATATCGCATCCCAACCCATCACCCACCACCCCATTCCCACCGCCATGCATTCATCGTCATCACCGCCAGCTGTCGCCCGCTGCAGCCGCGTTGTTGAGCGCCACCACCCGCGCGTCGTCAATCTCGAGTACACCGGCGAGGTGTGGGCATGTGGTCGCGGCGTATGGGGGCACAGTTGTTGTTGTTGTTGTTGTTGTTGTTGTTGTTGTTGTTGTTGTTGTTGTTGTTGTGGTTGTGTGATGTGAATGTGTATGTGTGTGTGTGCGTGAATCTGTCTGTGTGTGTGTGTGTGTGTGTGTTGTGTGTATGTGTGGTGTGTGCGTGTGTGCGTGCGTGTGTGTGTGTGAATGTGAATGTGTGGAGGTGTGTGTGTGTGGTAACTTGCCGTGCCACTGTAGGCTTCCTGGTCACATCTCCAATCCGACTTCCGTCACATCCGGCAATGCTGTTCTCACTCATGCTTCCTGTGTGCACATGTGCGCGTGTGTGTTCAGGGCCCGATTGAGAAGACGCTGTTCTTCGTCGGCAAAGGCATCACCTACGACACCGGTGGTGCAGACATCAAGGTGACGCGTTGTTGTTGTCATCGTCATTGTCATTGAGTCTGTCGTCATAACGCAATGCGACACATGTGATTCACTCTGCAGATTGCTCATCACGACCTCACTGCGCACCCGACTGTGCTCGTGTGTGTGTGTGTGTGTGTGTGTGTGTGTGTGTGTGTGTGTGTGTGTGTGTGTGTGTGTGTGTGTGTGTGTGTGTGTGTGTGTGTGTGTGTGTGTGCATGTGTGTGTGTGTGCTTGTGTGCTCATTTATGTGTGCATGTGTGTGTGTGTGTGTGTGTGTGTGTGCAGGCCGGCGGCATCATGGCGGGCATGCATCGCGACAAGGGCGGCGCGTCCTCGGTCGCCGGATTCCTCTACCTCGTCAGCCTCCTCAAGCCAAAGGTACCGCTGACGTCGTGCTGATGCGGTGGTGTTCTTGTTGTGATGGAATGGCGGCGGTGTGATGGTTGAATGGGTGAATGAGTGATGAATCACACGACACGACAACTCCTTGCCTCGTTTGTGCTCACCACCTCTCCATCCAACCACCATCCTTGCATCGTGTCACGCTATCAGAACATCCGGGTTGTTGGCAAGCTCGCCGTTGTTCGCAACAGCGTCGGCGCAGACGCATACGTCGCCGACGAGGTGCCATGACGATACATTGTCGTGGTCGTGGTCGTGGTCGTGGTCGTGGTCGTGGTCGTGGTCGTGATCGTGGTCGTGGTCGTGGTCTTGGTCGTGGTCGTGGTCGTCGATGCATTTTTGATGGTTGTAGCCGTTGGTGTACGGCAGCAGCTGTGTGAGGAGGATGCAGGCGGATGCTGTCGTGGTGTTATGTGATCAGCTCACGTATTCTCTCTGTGAACTGCACCGGTTCATGACGTTGTGTTTGCGTTGTGTGCAGATCATCCACTCGCGTGCGGGCGTGCGCGTGCGTGTCGGCAACACGGATGCTGAGGGCCGCATGGTCATGGCCGATGTCCTCTGCGAAGCAAAGGTCCGTAACGCCGCCGCAGTGCACATGGTGGAGGGGAGTGGCGCTGTGGTCGTAGAGTGGAGGTGGACTAGTTTGTCGTGACACACGCACACACACATACATGCACACACACACACACACACACACACACACACACACGCACACACACACACGCACACACACACACACGCACACACACACACTCTCTCTCTCTCTCTCACATACACACACATACCTCCACCAACAGGAGGAAGCGCTGCATGCGCCGTCGCCGCACATCTTCACCATGGCGACGCTGACGGGCCACGCTGTGCGCGCATACGGCGATGGATACTTTGCTGCCATGGACAACGGCCCCGCTCGGGCCGCCAACATCGCCTCCACCATCGCACAGAAGGGTGCGCACTCATTTACATTGTGTGGTGTAGTGTTGTGTGGTGTTGTGGGGTGTCGTGTTGTGTAGTGTTGTGCGGTGTGTGTGTATTTTTTTTTGCATGTGTCGTGTTTCAGGGTGTTGCAAGTTCACCACATGCCATCTGCACCAATGCTCGCCCATATCACCATCCGCCCCTCACACGTGACGACGACGCTGATGCTCGCGTGCTTCATGTGTGCTGACGTGTGCTTCGTGTGCAGGTCTTGAGTGGGGCGACCCTGCCGAGATCTCGACGGTGCGGCGCGAGGACTTTTCGTTTGTGAAGAAGACGTATCTGACGGAGGATGTGCTGCAGGCCAACAACGCCGCGTCCACCAACACCGCCCGCGGCCACCAGTACCCGGCAGCCTTCCTCACCATCGCCAGGTGTGCATGTGGCTCTGTCTGTGTGTGTGTGTGTGTGTGTGTGTGTGTGTGTCTGTGTGTCTGTGTGTCTGTGTGTCTGTGTGTGTGTGTGTGTCTGTGTGTCTGTGTCTGTGTCAGCGTCAGCGTCTGCGTCCGTGTGTCTGTGTGTCTGTGTGTGTTGTGCCGATCACACTGCCCACAAGTTAACCTCTGACCTCATCCTTATCCCCTTAATCACTCACCCCTTGCTCTCCCCCCCCCCTCTCCAACCACCAGCGGGCTGGACAAGCACGGCATCAACTCGGACCAGCCTCTGCCGTACACGCACCTCGACATTGCCGGCAGCACGAAGATGTGGCCCACCCCTGTCTCGGGCTCCCCCATCCCCGCCCTCGCCGCAACCTTCCTCATGTGATGTGTCACGCGTGCATGAGTGGCTGTCGTCGTTGTTGTGGTGGTTGTGATTATGGTGGTGGTGATTAGATGTAATCACACCACCACGTATGTGCACATGTATGTTCACATTGATGGGCCGCCCTCTCCTTCCACTCGTTCCTCCAAAACCAAAAACAACAACAACAACAAGAAGAACAAGAACAAGAACAAGAACAGGAAGGAGAGCAAAAGCCCCAAAACACAACAAACAAACGCGACCACGACAACACACGACGCTGCATGCTTTGGTGTGGTGCTGTGTGCGTTGCGTTGCTGATCGCGTCTCCTTCTCCTTCGTCCCCTTCTGCTGCTTCCTTCGCTGGGACTCCTCGTGGTGACTGGAGTGCAGTGCCTTAAGCCGACAACAAAGCACACGAGCACAAGCGCGTACGTCGGCTGTTGCGCCACTGCCGTGATCGCACTGCCGCTGCAATCAACAACATCACTCTACTGCTCAACTCCTTGACCTGTGCACCGCTCGTCATTCATCGTTCACACACACACTCTCTCTCCCTCACCACCTGCACCTCATTGACCTGAGCACCGCTCGTCATTCATTGTTCACATATACACAAACTCACGCACACACACACACACACTCACTCACACATTCACACACACACACACACACACACACGCACGCACACACACACACACACACATTCACATACACACACACTCACACACACACACACACATACACACACACACACACACACACACACACACACCACACACACACACACACACACACACACACACACACACACACACACACACGCATGCAGAACAATAATGGCGTGCTGACGCGCACAGGGTATCGCCATCACCCTGGCGGTGCTGGGCGCCGTG